GGACCCGTCCGTGGGGTCTGACTGGGGTCCAGGAGGTCTCGTGGTCGGTGGTGAGGGACCAGCCTGGGCTTGCAGCGGGGCTGGAGCCAAAGGAAACAGGGGTTTGGATGAGCTCAGCGTCTTCACGCGTCAGGGCACAGCCCCAGCCAAGCAGATGGTGGTTAGGAGGAGGATTTCCCCTGGAATGGGAGCCCCTGCATGGGTGCAAACCCTGAGCCTGGGTCCAGAACGCAGGGCTGGACCGGCTCAGATATTGGGTATGAGCAAGGCTGCATCCATGGAGCAGGATGGGCATCTGTGGGGGCAGGACTCTAGGATCTGGGGCTGTGCAGCTGTGCCATCCCATGCAAGGCAGCCCAGGGGCAGGAGTCGAGTTCTCCCAGTTTCCAGGAAGAGCTGAGGTTGGAGGCACAGCTCAAGCTCCTCACCTGAGCTGAAGTTCCAGCAGCAGGGATGATTCCCAGATGAGCTGAGGCTGGAGGCACAGCTCGAGCTCCTCACCTGAGCTGAAGTTCCAGCAGCAGGGATTATTCCCCACACCATGTGGGACCCCTGCTCCAATGCTCCTGGCTGGGGAAACACCAGGATGCCCACACCACCAGGGTGACCCCCCCAAGGAGCTGGGGCTCACCTGGTGCCCCCCCAGGTGCTGTTCCTACGTGGGGCGCCGAGGAGGAGGACCCCAGGCCATCTCCATTGGCAAAAACTGTGACAAATTTGGCATTGTGGTGCACGAGCTGGGCCATGTCATCGGGTTCTGGCACGAGCACACGCGCCCTGACCGGGATGACCATGTCTCCATCATCCGGGAGAACATCCAGCCAGGTAGGGATGAGCTTCCCTCTTCTTCCTTCTCTATCCATCCCTCCATGGGGTGCTGCTGAAGCTGGGGTCCCCCTTGACTGTGTCCCCATCCTGTCCTCCCAGGGCAGGAATACAACTTCCTGAAGATGGAGCCAGAGGAGGTGGAGTCGCTGGGGGAGACGTATGACTTCGACAGCATCATGCACTACGCCAGGAACACCTTCTCCAGGTACCTGCCGGGGGTGGCTGAGCCATGTGTGCCCACCCTGGGGACAGTGGCACAGTGCCCCCAGCCCCAGGGGACAGTTAGCAGCTCTGCACAGGGTTAATTCCCATCACAACACGCCAGGCAGGATAAAACCCCACGCTGCCTCTTCCCAGGCCAGGGAATTGCTGTCCCCGCGGTCACCTCCGCTGGGGACACGTCCCCGCTGACTCACCGGTGGCATGCAGGCTTTAATTAGCCAGGCTGCTTTTAATTAGCCAGGCTGTTTTTAGCCTCCTTCCCCCTGGTAGTGGTGAGAACAGCCACAGGGCTGGTGCTTCCCACCCGGCTCAGCCTCTGCCTGCCCCAGGGGGATCTTCCTGGACACCATCCTGCCCAAGTACGACGTGAACGGCGTCCGACCTGCCATCGGCCAGAGGACACGGCTCAGCAAGGGGGACATCGCCCAGGCCCGCAAGCTCTACCGCTGCCCAGGTGAGTGCCACCTCTGCCCTGTCCCTGCCAGGGCCAGGAGCAGCATGCATGGGGCTGTATCTCCTGGGGGACTGCTCTGCTTCACCCCAAAACTGTCACTCTTGGATGGATTCCCTCTTTCCGGTGCATAAGTGGTGCTCCCTGCTATGGGAGCTCCTGTGAGGAGCACTCGAGGTGGTTTGCTCCATCCACAGAGATTTTTGGGGTGGTTGTGAGCAGAAGTTGGATGCAAGAAGTTGGTGAGCCCATGGGGCTCTGCCTGTGTGAGCAGGGGTGTCCTCAGCTGCCCTCTCCTCCTGCTCCTCTGAGAAAAGAGCATCCCCTCAGAGCATTCCTCAAAAAAATCCTCCCTAGAGCATCCTTCAAGAGCATCCCCAAAAACATCCTCCAAAGTGCATCCCCCAAAGAGCATCCCCCAAAGAGTGCCTTCCAAAAGCATCCTTTAAGGAGCAACCCCCAAGAGATGCTCTACAAGGCAAGAGCATCCCTCCCAGAGGATCTTCAAGATCATCTCCCAAAAAGCATCCTCCAAAGAAATCCTCCAAAGAGCATCCCCCCAAGAGCACCCCCTCAAAAATCCTCCAAGAGCATCCCCTGAGAGCATCCTCTGACCACACAGCATTCTCTGAGAGCAAAACCTCCTTGGAGACCATCTCCAAGAGCATCCTCCATCCCACCCCAGCACCAAGAGGAGGTTGGATGAGGCACAGCCAGGCATGATGTGGGGTTGATACCAGTGGGATGGGACAGAATGGTCTCACCCCAGCCCACCATCCCCCCTGGTCTGGGGCATCACAAGGGGCACTTGGCATGACCAGTGTTGTCACCTTGAAGGGCTCTGAGGACTGTGACCATGAGTGGTGGCATTGCCCCAGGCACTGTGGGGGCTGGCACGAGTCCCCCGACTGCAGGCACGTGCTCTGGCAACATCTGCAAGGAGTTTGGCTCCCGCACACTCCTGCTTAATTCCAGCAACTAATTAGCAGCCTGGAAGAGGGACTCCTTTGTGAGGGGCCCCACGGCCGTGCTGCCCTCGGGGGCTGTGGGGGAGCAGGAAAAGTGATTAGTTTGGAGCAGGGAAAAGGAAAAAAAAAAAAGCCAAAAGAAGGAGAAAAAAAAAACCCAACCAGAAAAAAAGCCCCTCTGGATCCTGCTTTCCCTTCCCTTTGTTTCCACTGTAAAGCAAGGAGGGAGGGGAAAAAAGGCAGCAAGCCCAGGTTTCAAACTGCCTTTTTGCACCGTTTCATGTGGCTTCCAGATGGCAAGGCTGGGTGGGATCCAGGCACGGGCACGGATCGCTGCCCGGAGCGGCCGGCGGCGGAGCACGGGGCCTGGAGAGGTGCCAGGGATCTGCTCCAGTGAGGATTTTTGGGGTTCACCAGTGATACCCTCAGGGCTGGGAATCTGAGTGGGAAAAGGGTACAGTGAGGGAACTGAAGGTAATCATAGAATCATAGAATTAACCTGGTTGGAAGAGTCCTCAACGATCACCAAGTCCACCCCTCCAGTCTCATCTTGAAAACTTCCAGGGATGGTGAATCCACCACCTCCCTGGGCAGCACATTCCAATGTCTGATCACTCCGTCAGTAAAAAAACTCTTCCTAATATCCAACCCAAACCTCCCCTGTAATGATGCCCATCCTACTGCTGAGGGCTTCATGGGGGTCTGAATCCCACTTTTCTCCCTTCACAGCCTGTGGGGAGACACTCCAGGACAGCCAGGGCAACTTCTCCTCGCCAGAATTCCCCAATGGATACTCTGCCCACATGCACTGTGTCTGGAGGATCTCTGTCACCCCTGGAGAGAAGGTACCAGCTGCTGGGCTGAAGGCTCTCTCCTCCTCCCAGCCTTCCTCTCCCTCCTCCCACCATCTCCCACCCTTTTTTAGGGTGTCCTAACCCCAGTATCCTTCTGTGGGGTGGGATGTTCGGGACAGAGCGTGTCTAGGTGCCATATGGTTCCTGCTGGCACAACGGGGGCTCATCCCATGCTCTTCCTCCTCCTTCCCAACCTTAGATCATCCTGAATTTCACCACCCTGGACCTGTACCGAAGCCGCCTGTGCTGGTACGACTACGTGGAGGTGAGAGACGGGTTCTGGAGAAAGGCCACGCTGCGAGGTAACAATCCAGGGCCTCCTGCCCACACCTCCTGCCCACCCACTGGGATGCTCCAGTGTCAGGCTGTGGGGCCAAGGGATTCCCTCTACCTCTATCCCTACCTGCCTGACTTTCCAAAGCCCTGGGGTGGTGGGAATTACCCCCCAGAGGAGGTATCAGAGTGAAAGGAGCTCCCAGTTTGGCCCACACCAGTGAAACCAGTCTGGATGATCCAGCTGGCTGGCACATCTCTCCTCAGGGTGATGCCAGTATGCCAGTCCCATCCCCATGAACTGAATGTTCCCCAAATCCCAGTTGATCCCTGGAATAACCAGTTTAAGTGAAACAGCCATAAAAGCCAGAGGGGAGTGGGGGAGAAGCAGCGCTTTGGCTTTAGGATGCTGGAAAGGGGCAGAGGGAGGACTGGGAGGAGGTGGTGGTGAGGAAGAGGAGGTGGTTGGGAGGGGGAGAAAGAGGAGTTGGTGTCGAGGGGGAGAAGGTGGTGGTGAGGAAGAGGAGGTGGTGATAAGGACGAGGTGGTGGTGACAAGGAAGAGGTGATGGCGAGGAAGAGGAGGTAGTGGTGAGGAAAAGGAGGTGGAGAGGAGATGGTAGTGAGGAAGGTGGGGGGAAGGAGGTGGTTGGAGGAAGAAGAGGTGGTGGTGAAGAAGAGGAGGAGGTCGTGGCGAGGAAGAGGTGGTGGTGAGGAAGAGGAGGTGGTGGTGAGGAAGAAGAGGTGGTGGTGAGGAAGAAGAGGTGGCAGTGGGGAAAAGGAGGTGGTGGTGAGGAAGAGGAAGCGGTGGTGAGGAAGAGGAGGTGGTGGTGGGGAAAAGGAGGTGGTTGGAGGAAGAAGAGGTGGTGATGAAGAAGAGGAGGAAGTCGTGGCGAGGAAGAGGAGATGGTGGTGAGGAAGAAGGGGTGGTGGCAAGGAAGAGAAGGTGGTGGTGTGGAAGAGGAAGTGGTGGTGAGGAAGAGGAGGTGGTGGTGGGGAAAAGGAGGTGGTTGGAGGAAGAAGAGGTGGTGATGAAGAAGAGGAGGAAGTCGTGGCGAGGAAGAGGAGATGGTGGTGAGGAAGAAGGGGTGGTGGCAAGGAAGAGAAGGTGGTGGTGTGGAAGAGGAAGTGGTGGTGAGGAAGAGGAGGTGGTGGTGAGGAAGAGGAGATGGTAGTGGGGAAGAGGAGGTGGTGGTGAGGAAGAGGAGGTGGTGGTAAGGAAAAGGAGGATTCCCAGCTGGCCACAGCCCAGCACGTCTTCCTCCCCAGGCAGGTTCTGCGGGAACAAGCTACCTGAGCCCATCATCTCCACCGACAGTCGCCTCTGGGTCGAGTTCAGGAGCAGCAGCAACTGGGTGGGCAAAGGCTTCTTCGCTGTCTATGAAGGTAGTGGGGGGCAGGGGGGACTG